GGTACCCGTGCTACCAGACCAACTGCCAAGCGCGCTACGAACCAGTGCCTCGCCATGTACGGCAACGACGGCTGCGTCTGCTACCCCGGCTTCCTCCAGTGCGTCCAGACCAACTGCTACAACGACTACACACCTGCGTACCAGCAGTGCCAGTCGGCGATCCCGAACGCCAACCGCTGCGTCTTGACGTGCGCGCCGCAAGCGTACCCGGACCCGGCCGTCGCGCCAGTGCAGTACAGCTTGTACTCGACCCTGTGGATCCAAGGCGCCAACGCAACAGGCTTCCAGAACTACGCATATGCGTTCTCCGAGACACTGGCGTCGTATCTGAGCAGCAACGGAAATGGCTCTACTGGCAGCGCGTGGAGCATCAGCACGATTGGCAACCCGCCCGTGGACATGGCCAACATTACGCTGTCGGAAGTGGCCGACGTCGTCGTCAATGACACGTCGCTCTTGCAGATCGACCTGTTGATCAAGCGGCCGACGTTCGACGCGCTCAATATTACCGCCACCAAGCTCAACGCGCTCGTGGCCAACACATCGATGGAGTTTCAGAATGCGCTCGTCAAGGCCGGTGTGCTCTTTGAGACGACGCAGCTCACGGTGCAGACGGCGCAGACGAGCGTCGATGCGCTGGACAGCAACGGCCAAGTGATTGCGCCAAACGACTCGAGTGACGGTGTCTTTGCCAATGCCGGGGCAGCCCTTTGCCCGACGATGTTAGTCGGCCTCGTAGCGTGGGTCTGCCTGATCGCGGGCGCGTAGATCGTCGGATCTTCTGCATGTCACCGCACGACACGTAGAACCTTGCATCCGTTTATGCTGAAATGGCTGTATTCAAATCCTATTGAAGATCTTGGCGATGAATCTTGGTCTTGGAGAGAGGTCGGGTGTTGAAGGAGCCAAAAGAATGATGCTAGGACGCGGGCGAGTACGTAGCGCCACGGAGCACCAAGGGCGGCGCGTGGCTCGATGAACATGCACCAAAGCTTGGCGAATGCAGTCGCAACGAGCAGCGAGCTCCACTTTGCGGCACTTGTCGAGAGTGCTCAATTTAAAACACCGTTTTACTAAACGTGGTAGTGCTACGGATGGTGTTTTCCTCCTCGTCGCCGCAAAAGGTGGTGACAGTCATACGTCGACAGAGGCGGTCACCGGCGTAGCGCAGCCATGACGGCGGTGGCGGTAGTGCTGGTGGTGGCAAGCCTGCACGAGGTAGTGCCCCGCGCCCAGATCCGGATCCGCCCTGGAACGTCGTCTCGAGCTTGCGCCTGATTGCCAAACGGCAGCCATCGCCTGATGTCGCCGCCAGTGCAAATTTTGTTGCGTCAATCATGATCTATAGTAATAGACGACCCACTTCAACAACAACCATGAACTCGGCGTTCAAGCACGGTGACAAGCACGGTGCCATTCTATTTGCTCCAAAACTAGCGAGGACACATGTGCCTTACTAGTATACAAATGGTATAGTGACATGTGCTCAAGTACTACAACACGCAAGTGTGCCACCTGTATTAATAGTTGCAGCTGGAGACCGACGCATTGCACCTTCATGTGCTGTAGCGTGGGATGTCGGGACACAAACACATGACCATATGGCGGCACAGTGGCAGAGAAGAGTCCCGAAGCTGCCACTCTGCAACGTGCCCATGCCCAACCAAGCGCTCATCGACGCTGCCGAAGCCGGGGACCTCGAGGCCGTACGAGCGCAGCTCCCGTCGACGACCGATATGGACGATCGCATGCGCGCGCTCTTTATCGCATGCGGCGCAGGCCACGTCGACATCGTCGACGAGCTCCTTCCCTCTTGCGACGCCAACGCCACCAACGAGGTCCAATGATCCATGCCATGTCTGCACTCACGCGCTGCTTGATACGCGTAGAACAGCAGCACGCCATTGATGAAGGCGGCCGCTGCAGGTCATCTCGCGGTGATTGAGTGTCTTCTTCCGGTTTCCAACGTGGCGATCGCCAACAAGGTACTACCTCGTTACACACGACCGACCTTGAGGCCGATTCTCTCTCCAGAGGGGAATGACGGCGATGGCGTATGCAGCAGCGAATGACCACGTCGAGGCTGGCCGCCTCTTGCTGCCGTTCGTGGACATCAACGCCGTGAGCCCGACGGTAGTACATTGACATGTGACGACTGCAAATCGGCAGCACGAGCCTTTGATTAGTCGGAAGACTCGGCGTTGCATGTGGCAGCGCTGTACGGAAGCGCGTCCTTTGTGTCGTTCCTCGTTGAGAACGGCGCCAATGTGAATTTACGCGCGGATGTTCGTAAATGACGTGGCAGCACCACGTGCTCACATGGCAGTTTCCGAATGCAATAGGACGGGTACACGCCCCTCGCCGTCGCCGTGGACGACAACAACGTCGACATTGCGCAGCGTTTGCTTGCGTCGAAGCGATGCGACCTCACGATCGAGGACGAGGTGCGTGCGTTGTCGCGTTCTCGTCCTAGGACGCACTGCGTGTGTAGCATTCTGCCGACACGCCGCTCATGGCGGCCGTGATGAAGCGACAGACAGAGATGGCGAAGGCCATCGCTGTCCACGCCGACTTCGCCGCCACTAACAGCGTACGTCATCATGACATACCACATTTGCGCTTCATCAAGAAACGTCATAGCGCCAGTTTGTACCCATGGACTTGGTCATCCTGACGCGGCAGTGGGGTTTGTTTGACCATTTCCTACCCTTGTCGCCGCCCAACATGCGCGTTGGATTCTTTGTGCGTGGCGGCAACGGGGAGGTTGGATCATTTT